GTATTTTTGTCTCAGACAAGATTACTTAACAAAAAATAAAAGCTGAAACTCTTGAATACACTAATCGTCAAAAGGCGATTTTTTAAATGAAACTAGCAGAACATAATCGTTAGATGTTTAATTACACCTGGGTAACTTTTGAAGTTAACCCAATCCAACTAACTGGCCCTTCCAGAGAAAATTAAAGGCTCTAAGTAACAAAATTTGGTGTTCTATCTGAAATTCTACTAGCTGGTGAGTTCTCAGTAATCCAGGATATGGCAAATCCACAAAAACCAAACACTTGTGCGTGGCACGAGATCAATCTGCCTGTGAAGTTAGTTGCAATAGATCCTCTCGTTCAGTTTAAAACTTGAAACTTCACACTTTCCATGTTTAAAACAAAGAAAACTCCAGCAAAAATGTCTTCAACTACAAGATCATCAGTCTGGTTGCACTGTATTGTTTTTAATCATTTTGGATCAGAAACTGGTTCCCACTGCACATTTTAGCTCTTTGTGTTTGAAGTCAACTCAGTTCAAGATGGCCGCCACAGTTAACTCACCTTAGAACACATGTGTCAAACTCAAAAGATTTTATTTTTACTTAACATGAAAATTGTTTCATATTTCAATGGTAAACTTTACATTTATAATTAAAGGCAACAAATTAATTTAAAAGGTGAAAGATAACAACTGTTCTGCCCCTGAGCTGCTGGCTTTAAGTAACTATTTGGATAGCATTAATGTCTGAAAACAAGCTGCTTTAAAGTCAGCATCAACCATRAACTAAATCAGCCATAATGCATATTAGCTACTCACTTTAAACTCATCAGTGAGTAAAACCATTAATTTTACTTTTAATAATATTTCTGTATTTATTTCAGATTTAATCAGTCATACACTTATCTTATCAGTGTTTAAAAGAGGACGTGTTAAAAACACTGTTTGGTCAAAGTTAAACATGAAATGTCAAAGTTTTTTTTCTTTTTTTTTATTGATGGCCTCCCTTCCCCCTTATAGCCATCCTCTCCACACCATTATTATGAATTTTTTTTAAGTGAAGAGAAAATAGAGACAGAGAGAAAAACAGAGAGAGAGAGAGAGAGAGAGAGAGAGAGAGAGAGAGAGAGAGAGAGAGAGA